GGATGAAGGAGTTCATACCCGATCTAGGTGTCATACCTAGTACATCGGGTCCAATGAAAATCTTTTGTGACAATACTAGTGCAATTGCCTTGGCAAAGGAATCCAGATTTCACAAGAGAACCAAGCACATCAAAAGTCGCTTCAATTCCATCCACGATCAAGTCAAGGAGGGAGACATAGAGATTTGCAAGATACATATGAATCTACATGTTGCAGACCCGTCGACTAAGCCCCTCTCACGAGAAAAACATGATTAGTACCAAGACTCCATGGGTGTTAGAATCATTACAATGTAATCTAGATCATTGACTCTAGTGCAAGTGGGATACTGAAGGAAATATGCCTTAGAGGCAATAATAAAGTTCTTATTTATATTTCCTTATATCATGATAAATCTCTATTATTCATGCTAGAATTGTATTAACTGGAAACTTAGTACATGTGTGAATACATGGACAAACAGAGTGTTACTAGTATGCCACTACTTGACTATCTCGTTGAATCAATGATGCTTATGTTTGCTAACCATAGACATGAGTTGTCATTTGATTAACGGGGTCACATCATTAGAGAATGATGTGATTGACTTGACCCATCCGTTAGCTTAGCACGACGATCGTTTAGTTTGTTGCTATTGCTTTCTCCATAACTTATACATGTTCCTATGACTATGAGATCATGCAACTCCCGAATACTGGAGGAACACTTAGTGTGCTATCAAACGTCACAACGTAACTGGGTGACTATAAAGATGCTCAACAGGTGTCTCCGATGGTGTTTGTTGAGTTGGCATAGATCGAGATTAGGATTCGTCACTCCGAGTATCGGAGAGGTATCTCTGGGCCCTCTCGGTAATGTATATCACTATAAGCCTTGCAAGCAATGTAATTAATGAGTTAGTTGTGGGATGTAGCATTATGGAACGAGTAAAGAGATTTGCCGATAACGAGATTGAACTAGGTATTGAGATACCGATGATCGAATCTCGGGCAAGTAACATACCGATGTCAAAGGGAACAACGTATGTTGTTATGCGGTTTGACCAATAAAGGTCTTCGTAGAATATGTAGGAACCAATATGAGCTTCCAGGTTCCGCTGTTGGTTATTGACCGGAGATGAGTCTCGGTCATGCCTACATAGTTCTCGAACCCATAGGGTTCGCACGCTTAACGTTCGGTGACGATCGGTATTATGAGTAAATGTGTTTTGATGAACCGAAGGTTGTTTGGAGTCCCGGATATGATCACGGACATGAAAAGGAGTCTCAAAATGGTCGAGACATAAAGATTGATACATTGGATGGCTATATTCGGACACCGGAAGTGTTCCGGGTGATTTTGGAGAAAACTGGAGTGCCGGAGGGTTACCGGAACCCTCCTCGGGGGAACTAATGGGCCACATTGGCCTTAGTGGGAATGAGAGAGGGCCGACCAGGGCAGGCCACGCGCCCCCTCCCCCTCTGGTCCGAATTGGACTAGGGAAGGGGGGGGGGGCCCTTTCCTTCTCCCTCTCCTCCTTCCTTTCCCCCTCCTAGTAGGACTAGAAAAAGGGGAGTCCTACTCCTACTAGGAGGTGGACTCCTCCTCTCCTGGCGCGCCCCGAGGGCCGGCCGGCCTCCCCCTTGCTCCTTTATATACGGGGGCAGGGGCACCCTAGAACACACAAGTTGATCATTGATCTCTTAGACGTGTGCGGTGCCCCCCTTCACCATAATCCACCTCGGTCATATCATCATAGTGCTTAGGCGAATCCCTATGCTGGTAGCTTCATCATCACCGTCATCACGCCGTCGTGCTGACAAAGCTCTCCTTCGACACTCAACTGGATCAAGAGTTCGTGGGACGTCACCAAGCTGAACGTGTGCTGATCTCGGAGGTGCCGTACTTTCAGTACTAGGATCGGTCAGATCGTGAAGACGTATGACTACATCAACCGCGTTGTCATAACATTTCTGCTTACGGTCTACGAGGGTACTGGGCAACACTCTTCCCTCTCATTGCTATGCATCATCATGATAGATCTTGCGTGTGCGTAGGAATTTTTTTGAAATTACTGCGTTCCCCAACAGATATTGCTGCTAATAATACATGATCTCATCAAACCAAACAAGCACGAGACAATCGCGCGCACCAAGACTGTTGTACCCCTTCGCTCTTGCATTGAGGTCCAATGCATACACATAGACACTATTTAGCCTTGTTCCGCAAGCCCAAGGAAATGCGTCGGCTCGGCCTGGAGCCAGACAGGGCAAGGAAAGGAGAAAGATTCAGATCCAGGAGGAGCATGCACAGTAATTGGCCGCTAAGATGAGGCGAATTGCATGGAATGGAAACAATTTATGACGATTATCTATTATTTATTTATAGCTAATCAATATAATACCTGGATACAACGAGTGCCAGGAAGGAGAGGATATCCAGCTCCCAATCAAACATGATCTTCCACGACAAGGATGCACAAGGAGCAACAGATAGCTAAAATTCTATAAGCCATGTAGTCGTGGTGTGTATCGTTGGCACTTTTTTATTTGTTGTATAATGAGGTCTTGTATTTTCCCATGTAACATATGTGATCTCAATTTTCAATGTAGAAAAGAGCTGGCAATTGGCATTTTCTTGGTAGGTTTTATAAATGCATAAAAGGCCAGCGAAGTGTTGGATTGGTATTTCGCATTTGTCTTTCATGTATTAATTAAAGACTGGTATGAACCAATGTAGAGATAATTAAGTTTATTATTTTACAATACTTGTCATTCAAATTTTAAGAGTTAACATGTTGTAATAAACTTAGAGCTCTTTTCTTTCAATTGAAGGTATAACTGTTCATTGCTTTTCTTGCGTTGGTTTTGCATCGGTTTTCGTTAGTTCAACATGTTCGTAAGTTTTCTAGCCTTTGTAAAAAATATGTGCAAATGTGTTGTATAGTTAGTCCTTGATATGTAGTAGTTCTAGGGTTGTTTTGGAAGATACACCTTGGATGATAGTTATATGACCAAAATATTGTAATCCAGATTTTTTTTAGATTATCAGGGGAGTTTTTCCGCCCCCCGGTTCCATTTAATAAAACAGAAACCAACATTTCAGACACTCATTCATGCTGCAAAGCGCATGTTCCGGAAGATCCAGATCACAAGCTTTATCTTAGAACCGAGGGATTGCTCCATACTCTGCCATACATGTGGTGATGTTAGTTTGGATCGTCGCAATACGTGGGAGTTGTACACTTTATAGAATTTTCCTTTTTGAGAAACCTCGTGTGAGGGCAGGGGGTTCCTGCATGTCATTAAAAAGAAGAGAGTTTGTCCGGCTTATAAGGAAAACAGGACCCAAAAACCTAACATTCCCGGCTAATGAACGAAAACCAAGAGAAAACCCAAAAAAGAAAACAAGAATTATTATTGCTACCACTAAATTGTTTCATTTTTCGTGGGACTCCTTTGTAGGGAGCAATAGGAGAGTGCCCGTAGGGTTAGTAGGGATACTAGTTTGACATGTAAATTAGACATTTGCAGAAGGAGTTGGTTAAGCAAACAACAAACAGATGAACTGATCAGACCGGTGAGTATACAAATGCAGCATGGCTAAGAAGGAAAGGGAGCATCGCCACCGGAACAAACACCCACGATCCGCGTGACATAAGAGCAAGTACAATAGGGTGATGTAGGCGGGCTGTAAGACATTGAATATTATATTTTTGCTTAGTTGAAAAGAGAAGAGGAAAAAGAAGAGAAACGGGCTACTAGTTAACAACCGGCTGCAGCACGTGCTCTTAGGCATTTTGTGAGAGAGCAAGATGGACCTTGTATCAACAAAATACATATTTATATTCAGCTATTGTACTTACCAGCTATAAGGTTGACTATATTATTAACCATGCTCTAACGTGCATTGCAAGCGCACTAGCTTAGCTAGGCACTAAGCAAGCAGGCAAGCACGAGACAGCCCGCACGCACCAAGCTTGTCGTACCCCCGCAGTCCCGCGCCGAGTTGCATGGCGCATACAACCAGCCACACGACCACAACTTAGCCAAGCCCAAGGAGCGCCTCGGCACTGCTTGGAGCCGAGCCGAGAGGGAGGGATAGCCGGACCGAGTCAAGACAGATTGATCCAGGAGGAGCTAGCATGCATGGTGGCTGGCGATGATGAGCGGGTGGCGCGGAATGGAAACTATTTATCGCCATTATTTACCCATTCATTCACAGCCAATTAATAATACTCCATTATCTACCCATTTATCGCCATAATTTACCCAATGTTGTGGACAGGAGAGGAGATCCGGGCACCTCCCCCATCATCGAACAACTCATCATTTGGTCGCTCCGTCGCCTACCTCTACCTTAGGGCATGCTTGGTTCCAAATAAGTCACCAACTTATAAGTCGAAAAGTGAAAAAGTGACTTATTTTGCCAAACAGGCCCAATTTATAAGTCACCCCAACTTATAAGTCATAAGTTGCTCCACCCCAACTTAAAACTTATAAGTCACCCCCTTTTGCATGGGTCCCATCATCTTTACAAAAAGACAAGGTGGGAAGGTGTGGTCAGGTGACAACCAAACAGGCGTGACTTATAAGTCAGTGGTTTTAAGTCACCTAAATTAAAAGTCAGGTGACTTATTTGAACCAAACATGCCATTACTTATAGCCCACCACCCCGCCGCCGCATGCCCACACCAGACGAGATCATCACATCACATCACCACCACCGAGCACTGCCACCGTACCATCATCCATCCTCTACACCGGAGTGTTCTCAGATCGGATCGGGCTCGCCAGAGATCGATGATGCATCACGCCGCCGGCCTCGACCTAGACCTCGGGCCGGGGCTTGGGCTCGCCTCCCAGGGCAGCCTCACGTCCTCCACCACCACCACCTCCTCCTCCCCGGCCTCCATGTCCCACTCGCGGCACTAGACCGCCGCGCTCAGCTCCGTTGTCGGTGTGGCGGGCCCCACGCAGGAGTTCACACAACAGCTGCTGCATAGGGAGGAGGAGCCGGGGATGAGTCCGTCCACGTCGCCCGAGAGCGGCATCAGTGCCGGGACCAAGAGGGGCCTGGAGCACACCAGCTCCGGCGTCTTCCCCGCCGCGAGCAGCGACGAGGACGACGGCGGCGGCGATGGAGCCGGCGGCCGCAAGAATCTTAGGATGTCCAAGGACCAGTCCGCCGTCCTCGAGGAGTGCTTCAAGACGCACAGCGCGCTCAACCCTGTAAGTCCTCGCCCTTCTCCGATGATCTATCCACCCCGCTCGTGTAGTGTTCGTCCATGGATTCTTTGTGATCGATCGCATTGGGTTGACCGGTATTTCTCCCTACGATTTGCAGAAGCAGAATAAGGCGCTAGCGAACCGGCTGGGACTGCGGCCGCAGCAGGTGGAGGTGTGGTTCCATAACCGCCGCGCTCGGACCAAGCTCAAGCAGACGTAGGTGGACTGCGAGTACATGAAGCGCTAGTGCGAGCAGCTCACTGAGTAGAACAAGCGCCTCGAGAAGGAGGTGGCCGAGCTCAGGGCGCTCAAGGCCGCACCGCAGGCACACAACGGCGCCTCGGAGGGGCCGCTCACCACCCTCACCATGTCCCTCTCCCGCAAGCGCGTCGCGTCCACGTCCTCCGCCTCGGCCTGCACCGTGCCCCGTTTTTCTGCCAATGCCGGCACCGGCATGCCAATGCCATCCCTCAAAGAATGGCAATTCTTCTGTGCGTTCAGAGACACCGGAGCGATGTATGGTGGTTCTTCGAGGCTCGCGAAGGTGGTCAAGCCGGCCAGATAGAAGGAGCTATGTCTGTGACACCGCCATGATCAGCATGCCAAGCAAGCTAACAGAAATGACGGCATTGTCACAACTCACAAACTTAAGCAAGTCTAGCAGAAAGTTTAATCCTTCGTATTCTCCGTCTTAGGGAAATGTAAGTTAATTAAATCTAACAATTTAGGGCTGAATGATCGATGTATATCGGGCTTCAGGCGGGGATGAACGTATGCATGTGAAAAGTCGATGAAGAAATAACATGAGAAACTCAAAAACTAATTCATAGTCATACTACAAACTTACTAACATGTTGAGTAATAATACACCAACATGCATGTTGAGTGATTTTCTAATTTGCTTAGATGTTGAAGTGGGCAGCGTTGATCAGAGCATGGTTAATAGTATAGCCAGCTGCTGGCTATATAGTCTTGCCACATCATTTATAGCCAAGCTTATAACCTGCAAGTACAATAGTTACATGTAAATGTGTATTACTTTTTTGATACATGACCCATCTCCCTCTCTCACAACATGCCTAGGAGCACGTGCTGCAACCAGCTGTTAATTAGTAGCCCGCTTCCCTTCTCTCTCCTCCTCTCTCTCCTCCAACACATCTAAAATATAATATTTAAATGCTTACAACCCGCCTATGTCATCCTATTATACTTGCTCTCAGGAGTTGGTGTATTATTACATGACTACTTGACTTCGTTTTTCTGGTGTGTCATCTACTCAATTTTGAGCTGCCAGACAGGTTGCATCTTAAAGGTGACTTCTGCTTTAGGTTGGTCATCTAGTAGAAGAAGCTAGGATATTAGTATACTCCGCATTGCACTTGCCTATTTTACCTGTTAATTTTCCATGTCCAAGAACACATGGTTTCCTCATTTTGGTTGTTCATGTATTTCAGCCTGTATTTTCTATGTGATATTTGTCCCCAGAGTCAGGAAAACAATTTTATTAAGAAAAGAGAGAAATAGAAAGTCTATCATGGATCATAACTTAGCCGAAAATCATACATAAAGGTTTCAAAAAAAATCATGAAAAAATGGATTGCATGGGGAGACGGATAGAAACACGTAATTAATGTGAAATTTAGCACGAAAAAGGATTTCTTTGTGGATATAGACTATCGTAACTTACTTAAGCTTGATGTAACATAACTTAATTTTTGATCTTTTTTAAAAAGGAAACAATGCTCTTCATGGCTGTTTTTTTCACAACGACTAAGATTATATACTTCCTCGCAAGAAACCACCAGTTTCAGCATCCCCACGCATGTCACAACTCTTCTTTTGCTTTTGGTCGATCTGCAAGATCGTCCATATTCTCAATTGCTTACAAATGGGAAAAGTTGAAGACATCACTTGGATATTGCATTATGAAACGAGAAAAGAGACTTACCAGTAACGAGATTGAACTAGGTATTGGGATACCGACGATCGAATCTCAGGCAAGTAACATACCGGTGACAAAGAGAACAACGTATAGTGTTATGCGGTTTGACCGATAAAGATCTTCGTAGAATATGTAGGAACCAATATGAGCATCCAGGTTCCATTATTGCTTATTAACCGGAGACATTTCTCGGTCATGTCTACATAGTTCTCGAACCCGTAGGGTCCGCACGCTTAAAGTTCTGTGACAATCGATTTTATGAGTTTATATGTTTTGATGTACCGAAGGTAGTTCAGAGTCCCGGATATGATCACGGACATGACGAGGAGTCTCGAAATGGTCGAGACATGAAGATTGATATATTGGAAGCCTACATTTGGACATCGGAAGAGTTCCGGGTAGAATCGGGATTTTACCAGAGTACCGGAGGGGTTACCGGAACCCCCCGGGGGCTAAAGGGCCTTGTTGGCCCATAAGGAAAGAGAGAGGGGGAGGCCTAGGGCAGGCAGCGCGCCCCCTCCCCTCTGGTCCGAATTGGACTATGAGAGGGGGGGGGCGCTCCCCTTTCCTTCTCTTTCTCTCCCTTCCTTTCCCCCTCCTAGTAGGAGTAGGAAAGAGGGGAATTTGCACCAACAAGGTCCGGCCGGCCTCCTCGTTGCTCCTTTATATACAGGGGCAGGGGGCACCTCACTAGTAGAAAATAGGGCTATGGTCCAGGCCGGCTCAGCCCATTAGTCCCGGTTCAGTGTAGAACCGGGACCAATGTGGGCATTGGTCCCGGTTCGTGAGCCCAGGGGGCCGGCCGGGCCACGTGGGCCATTGGTCCCGGTTCGTCTGGACCTTTTGGTCCCGGTTGGTGGGACGAACCGGGACCAATGGGCCTCGCTCCTGGCCCACCACCATTGGTCCCGGTTGGTGGCTTGAACCGGGACCAAAAGCTCCCCTTTAGTCCCGGCTCATGTCACCAACCGGGACCAATGAGGTGCCTATATATACCCCCTCGCGCAAGAGCAGAGCACAGTGCTCTGTTTTTTCTGGCCGAGGGGGAGAAGGCTTTGTGGTGCTCTAGCTCACCTCCTATGCACATGAGGTGTTCTATGGAATGCCCGAGCCACACTACTTAAGCTTTCTCCTCTCGAAGCTCGACCTCCAAGCTCCATTTTCCTCGAGATTTGTCTAGATTTAGCGGTCCGTCACGCCCCGTCCCCGTCTTCACCGCCGTCGATCACCCGCGCCGATCTCATCACCGACACCACCGTGGTGAGCCTCTTGTTCTTATCTTCTTTCTGAAAGGAAAAATATTCTTACTTGTATGTTTAGATAGATACTTGTATCATTTTCTTACATTTATTATTGCATCTTATATAGTGCGATGGTTTTGGTATCTGCCCCCGTCGGCCCTCGTCCTGTCTATGATTCGGATTTGGTATGTATATTATCTTTATAACTATTGGTTCATTTATTGTTTATGAAAATTATGCCGACCAACGTGACATAGATTTTATTTATCTAGGATGTATGTGAATCGTAAATGCCAACCGACCCTATTGTCGAGAGGTTAAATTTAGTTGAAGAAGAAAACAATTTGTTGAAGGAAAAAATAAAAAAAATTGAGGAGGAGAAGATGATATTGGAGTTGCATGTTGCGGATGTCGTCGATGATCACAAGATCAAGATGGATGCAATGCGCTTGAAGATTAGAAAGATTAGAAAATATGCCATTCATACCGAGGCTTGGTATCATTATGCCGTTGGATCAATTGTTACCTTGGTTGCGATTATGATCGCATTTGTTTTCGCATTGAAATGTTTTACATAGTTTCAATGTATGGTTTAATTAATTAGATGCTCTGGAGAGCTATATGTTGTTTGATGAGAACTATGTATGCACTTTGGTTTTAATGTGATGATGAACTTCTATTAATTTGGACACTTAATTATATATAATGCACGCAGATGAACCGGCAATGGATGTACGGTGACAGACACACCCGCGAGTACATTAAGGGCGTGCATGAGTTTCTCGATGCGGCTGAGGCAAACAAGCAGAATGGTTTTATGTGTTGTCCATGCACTGAATGTGGGAATACGAGGTCTTAGTCTAACCGGAAAATCCTTCACTCCCACCTGCTTTACAAGGGTTTCATGCCACACTATAATGTTTGGACGAGGCACGGAGAAATAGGGGTTATGATGGAAGACGGTGAAGAAGAAGAGTACGATGACAACTATGTGCCCCCTGAATACGGTGATGCTCCAATGGGGGGAGCTGGTGAAGATCAAGAGGAACCAGACGATGTGCCCAATGATGCTGCCACGGGTGAAGCTGCTAAAGATCAAGAGGAACCAGACGATGTGCCCGATGATGATGATCTCCGCCGGGTCATTGTCGATGCAAGGACGCAATGCATTAGTCAAAAGGAGAAGCTGAAGTTCGATCGCATGTTAGAGGATCACAAAAAAGGGTTATACCCCAATTGCAAAGATGGCAACACAAAGCTCGGTACCGTACTGGAATTGCTGCAATGGAAGGCAGAGAATGCTGTGGCTGACAAAGGATTTGAGAAGCTACTGAAAATATTGAAGAAGAAGCTTCCAAAGGATAATGAATTGCCCGACAGTACATACGCAGCAAAGAAGGTCGTATGCCCACTAGGATTGGAGCTCGAGAAGATACATGCATGCCCTAATGACTGCATCCTCTACCGCGGTGCATACAAGGATCTGAACGCATGCTCGGTATGCGGTGCGTTGCGGTATAAGATCAGACGAGATGACCCTGGTGATGTTGACGGCGAGCCCCTCAGGAAGAGGGTTCCTGCGAAGGTGATGTGGTATGCTCCTATAATACCACGGTTGAAACGTCTGTTCAGAAACGAAGAGCATGCCAAGTTTATGCGATGGCACAGTGAGAACTGAAAGAAAGATGGGAAGTTGAGAGCACCCGCTGAAGGGTCGCAGTGGAGAAAAATCGAGAGAAAGTACTGGGATGAGTTTGCAAAGGACCCAAGGAATGTATGGTTTGCTTTAAGCGCGGATGGCATTAATCCTTTCGGGGAGCAGAGCAGCAATCATAACACATGGCCCGTGATTCTATGTATGTATAACCGTCCTCCTTGGATGTGCATGAAGCGGAAGTTCATTATAATGCCAGTTCTCATCCAAGGCCCTAAGCAACCCGGCAACGAAATTGATGTGTACCTAAGGCCATTAGTTGAAGAACTTTTACAGCTGTGGAATGGAAACGGTGTACATACGTGGGATGAGCACAGACAGGAGGAATTTAACCTTAAGGCGTTGCTGTTCGTGACCATCAATGATTGGCCTGCTCTTAGTAACCTTTCAGGATAGACAAACAAAGGATACCACGCATGCACGCACTGTTTAGATGACACTGAAAGTATATACCTGGACAAATGCAGGAAGAATATGTACCTGGGCCATCGTCGATTTCTTCCGACCAACCATCAATGTCGAAAGAAAGGCAAGCATTTCAAAGGCGAGGCAGATCACCGTAAGAAGCCCGCCATGCGCACCGGTGATCACGTGCTTGCTATGGTCAATGATTTACACTACGTAATCTTTGGAAAGGGTCCCGGTGGACTAGCTGTTCCGAATGACGC